CTCTATTTCAATGTACTTCTTTGTTTTAAAATTGAGTTCTTTAAATTCAAACAATGCCTTTTTTGGATCATATTTATAGGGGCACGGGGCACTACCGCCCACCAACATCGCGTGCGGTATGAAATCATTGAGTGTAAGTTAATCACTCTCCGTAATATCACCGTTAATAACTCACCGCCTGAGTGTCGATTACACCACCCCAGGAGCGCCGCTTACAGCCCTAGCTCGGTTTAATCATCGAATGTCGTGTGCCGCATTATCAATATTGTAGGGTGCCCCTTAAAACTAACGTAGGCGCGTAGTGCTCGCAGGATAGGTCTGGGCGCCAAATCGCACCCTGCAGAGACGCCCGCCAGATGATGTGCCTGATTCGATTTAGTGAGCGACTATAGCAAATCCATTTTATCCATAACCTATCGCGCTGTTTAAATAGAAGGTAGGTCCGGGAGACAAATCGCCCCCTTCCGGTGCACCGGAGGGCGCGCCTGATTCGATTAAGTAAACGATTATTGCTGCCCATCGTGTCTTTAGTGTATAACCTTTTTTAAACGGGTCGCGCGATCGACGGGGCGCATACGGTTGCGCTTGTTGCAGTTTTACCGCTGAATATACTGTTCCACCATACTCGCTAGGCAGAATGCCCAGTTAAAGATGCCAAGTGCTAACATAGCCGCTAACATGAACTCTGGGCGCCAAAACGCGTATTGACAAAAATGCACCCTTCCGGGCGCCACCCATGATGAACGGTGTCGAATCGCATCCGACTATTATTTTTTGTATATACCGTAGATAGAGAAAATTTGCACCCTCCCGGGGCGTCGTGCTTGCGAAATTAAAAAAGAATTTTTTTATTTTTTTTGCAGATACCTCCCAAGGAGTATTCTGAACAACTTCCCAAAGTTTCATGGCGATCGGATGAAAGGTGTAGTAATGCTTTTATATAATATATATATATATATATATATATATATATATATATATATATATATATATATATATATATATATATATATATATATATACGTACCAAATCCTAATTAAATATAATATTGAAATACAAATGTAAGTGGCTCTTTATAAACTTGGAAATTTTGTAAATTGTAACTTTTGGCTCTTCCGTCTAAAAAGGTTGCCGACCCCTGTACTAGGGGATAGAGCAACGAACTTAGCTAAATTTCCCATTTAATTTTAATTTTTTTTATTACATCCCCCCCCCCCCCCATTTTATTAACCAAATAGATACTATTATTGTTTTCACTGTAATATGTAAATTGACATTTTCACAACATATTTTTGCATTTGTCTGGAAAAATATACAATTACGGAAAAATGCCCTCAGTAAACGAGGCTGTATCATTTTTTCCCAATTTCCCATCAGACTAGAAAAACCACCCAAGTATCCATCAGTATACGGCTAGCCTCAGAGGCGTAGCGAGGGGGGGGGGGACATATATCCCCGGGCGCCGACCTTAGGGGGCGCCAAAATGGGTTGGAAAAAGTAATCGAAAGGTTGACGGGGGGGGGGGGGGGGGGGCAAATCGAAAGAGTTTGAGGGGGGGGGGGAATGCTAATCGAAAGTTTGTCCCCGGGCGCCGGGAAGGGTCGCTACGCCCTCTGGCTAGCCTCAGTCCCTCCCCTTGAAGTAACATCAAGATTAGCATTGCATTCACTGTAGACCTCCACGAAGGTTATGCCACTACACGATTACAACTCTATTTAATAGAAAGGAGAACTCACCTGCGGTACGTACACAAAACCTCATAAGGCAACTACCAAAATCAGGAATAGGTTGAGATCTACTCCACCTTGTTCTTCTCCTGACAGAGAAGAATTCAGCAGACAATTTGAAGAAGGCAGTGAAGTAGGGCAACAGTAGCGTAGCGAGGGGGTGGGGGGGGGGGGGGGGGGGTAAGGGGGGCGGGGGGGGGGGGGGGACATATGTCCCCGGGCGCCGACCTTAGGGGGCGCCTAAATGGGTTGGAAAAATAAATTGAAAGGTTGAGGGGGGGGGGTCCAAATCGAAAGTGTGACGGGGGGGGGGTGCAAATCGAAATCTTGAGGGGTGGGGTGCAAATTGCAAGTATGAGGGGGGTTGCAAATCGAAATCATGAGTGGGGGGGGGGGTGCAAATCGAAAAGTTTGGAAGGGTCGCTACGCCTCTGTAGGGCAAATCCTCTAGTGGGTTTCTTGAGCCACAAGAATGGATGGATAAATGACAGATATATCCAAGGGGCTTATGTGTGGTGTGGGGGGAGTGTCCATGATTGTATTCATACACCATCGTATTGTTGATCAACAGTCTCGTCAGAGGCGTAGCGACCCTTCCCGGCGCCCGGGGACAAACTTTCAATTTGGGCGCCCCCCTCGGAAGCAAATTTTCAATTTGCACCCCCTCAACTTTTCGATTTGCACCCCTCCCCCCTCAAACTTTCGATTTGCATCCCTCAAACTGCAAAAATGACATTTTAATTTGTTTTTACAACCCATTTTGGCGCCCCCTAAGGTCGACGCCCGGGGACATATGTCCCCCCCCTGCCCCCCCCCCCCATCGCTACGCCTCTGAGTCTCGTATTAGGTCTATGTATTTATAAACAGTGTTTCTTCCAGACTTTTTTCTCTGGGGGGCCACTTGAAATTTTCGGGGGGGGGGGGGGAGACTTTTTTCGGGGGGGGGGGGGGGCGGACACTGTTAAAAGTATATATTTTCTATATAAATTTCATTTCGTTCGGGGGGGGGGGGGCGGTAGAATTTTTTCCCCGAAGAGATGCCTGGAAGAAACTCTGTTTATAAAATCAAATCTTAATGATCTAATTTATAAAGCACTTGAAGTTGTTGGTGCCTGCTTTACCTTCCAGGTATCTGAGCCAGATATGGCCTGTCAGATCTGACAGTGGCGTAGCGAGGTCGGGTGTCACCCGGTGCGGCACTTAATGGTGTCACCCCCCCCCCCCCCAGAGGCGTAGCGACTCTTCCCGGGGACAAACTTTCAATTTTCGATTTGCACCCCCTCGAACTTTAGATTTCCACCCCCTCGAACTTTAGATTTCCACCCCCCCCCTCGAACTTTAGATTTCCACCCCCCCCCCCTCAAACTTTCGATCTGCACCCCCCCTCAAATTTTTCCCTATATATTCTACCTTTTTGCCTTGCTTGGTGTCATTCCCTAAATGGTGTCACCCGGTGCGGTCCGCAACCCCCCTCGCTACGCCTCTGAGATCTGACATTACTGCTGAGGCTGAGCTTTGTTCTTCTACACAGTTTTGTTAACAGCATTTTTGCTCTGTCATTGCATTTTTTTTTCAAGATCAATATAATCTTTTTGTGCTCAAGACACATGGGGCAGATGAAGTAGAGTTGATCTGTTTCAAGGACCTCGACATAAATGGGGATAATGTGGTCAGCACTATGCCCAGCAATCTTTGTTTCCCTGATGTGAGACAAGTACCCATCAGAGCTGGGTGGACTCAGGGACATCCAAAAGTCACAGGTCCGATCTGGGATCCAAACTTGAGTACTTTGGGCTAGCAGTCAAACATTCTACCCCTCGACCACGCTGCCCCCATATTTAAGACGAGCCGGCCCGCGGCATAACATACGCCGCTATTTAGTTATTGTTTTTTTTCTACTTTTCAGTAATTCAGAAATTGTGAATTCGACGGTACCAACGCTGCCACTGAAAATATTTCTTTAAAACACTATAAATAGCACGTTAAGGACCATAACCCCCCTTCCGCCCCCCCCCCCCCCCCAACGTCTAAAATCGTTTCAAACTAAATTATCTGCCCCTAATAGTCGTCACTAAACCCGGCTCTGCTTGTAAACATTTAGAGTGAACACAGCTCACTAAGACCATGTAGGGGTGGGGATGGTAGGGAGCGCGTTTACAGCTTGTTTTCTAGCGTCTCCCAGAAGAGAATTATATATACGAGCCGGCCCGCGGCATAACATACGCCGCTATTTAGTTGTTTCTAATTTTCAATAATTCATAATTTGTGAATTCGACAGTACCAACGCTGACACTGAAAATATTTCTTTAAAACACTATAAGTAGCTCGTTAAGGACCATAACCCCCCCCCCTTCCTTCCCTCCCCCCCTACGTTTAAAATCGTTGGCTCTGCTTGTAAACATTTAGAGTGAACACAGCTCACTAAAACCATGTAGGGTGGGGAGAGCGTTTGCAGCTTGTTTTCTAACGGCTCGAAGAAGAGAATTATATATATAGATAGATAGATACTTTATATATCTTTTGTCTGGGATATAATGTCTTCCTGAGAACAAGGAGCAGTAGCTGTTGACTTTTAGTCTATATTTTCATCTATACTGAGATAGTTGGAAGCAGTGTTCCCTCTAAGCTGCGCAGTTGCGCGGCCGTGCAGTAGTTTTGAACTGCCGTGCAATTGATTTTGTAAAATAAACATATCCTTCTATAAGACTTTTAGAACACCGCGCACACAAAATACACATTGCACACTAACTTTTTTCCCTTAGAGCAGGGGTCTCCAAACTACGGCCCGCGAGGTCCTCTCGTCCGGCCCGCGGAGATCTTTTTGTCCACGAAAAAAACCTTTGTTGGTGATGGCTGAGGAACTTTGCTCAGAAAAATCACGACATGCCTGGAAGAAACTGGCCCCCGAACTGAAATTTAATAGTTAATGCGGCCCTCGGACTGAAAAGTTTGGAGACCCCTGCCTTAGAGGGAACATTAGTTGGAAGGTTCCCTTTAAGACTAGATGTGTAAGGGGCAGATGAAGTAGAGTTCATCTACTTCTATTGACCTCAGCCACCCTTACTTTCATTAACAAACAGGAGATAAACATTAGAACTTGGTGGACTCAGTAATCTGAACTACAAACTTGCCATTGGTAAAAGAGTGCTCTACCTTGCAACCATGCCATACCATAGAGGGCTGCATATATAGAGGGCTGCATTTTTAGTAAAATAACATGAACCACATAACGGTAAACAATGATATAATAACAAGAACAGTTTTTTGCAACCAGACAATATTTTTTTATTATTAAAAACTTACTATAGACAAGTAATTATATACAGCAGAACCAAGCTACTTCTTTAAAATAAAATGGTGTACAAGCAACACATTAAAATAACTGAAACAATGACTTTTTTCTAAAAGCCGGTGTCAAAACATAATTTTTTTTCTTGGTGAATCAACTTTTTACAACTAACCCCCTGTGAAAAAAAAAAGGAAAAGTTTAATTGAATTTCTAAACACAGTTTACATTACAACACATAGTTAATGTTACTTGAAAATTCTCTAAATGTAGAGATGTATGATGTAGGTACCTTAGAAAATCAATTTAAGATGTAAGTATAATAAAGTTTGGTACAGCTGGTTAAGCCAAAAACAAAAACTTAGCCTTTATCATTACTAATCTAAGTAGAAACATTAGGCATTTCTATGATAAAATAATCTTCAATACTTTTTATACTTTTGGTTAAACCATACTACACTCTATAATGATTCTTACCCTTAACCTGAATTTCACAGTGGAGCAGGGATTGGATGTAGCCCATTGAAAACATGTATTGAATGGTAAAAATATGTTTTAGAATTTGTTTTGTTTGCGAAGCTATATGCCATCCTGTAGCTTTAATTAAACATTGAATTCAACAAATCTACATTTCCCAACTGCTCACATGAGCCTAGCTATTGTTACAGTCAAAGTGTGATGTGGGGCAGCAGATAAGTATATTTTGTGCTTTCCTAAACTTTCTATACAACGCCAAATGCTTTCCTATACATTGTACAAAATGCCAAACAGGGTGACTGGCCAAGTGTAGAATTAGCTTCTTTCTTATTGATTAATTTCCTAACCCTATCATTAACTTAAGGAGACAGAGTGGTCTAGGAGTAGAGAGCTGGATTGCTAAACGTAAGTTTTGAGTTCAAATCCGGGTTCAAGTCAGTAGACCGTCCATGAGTCCACCCAACTCTGATGGGTACCTAACTAACATTAGGGAAAGTAAAGACAGCCGGGCATAGTGCTGACCAGACTATCTCTTCATATGCTGAGGTCACAGTAACAAGTGATCTCTACTTCACTTGCCCTATAGAACGTCAGGTTTGAAAGGGAACTTTTACTTTTTTTTTATCATTAACTTTAACCCCAATATTACATTACGGTTGAGTAATGTCTTGCTCCCCAGTAAACATGCAGCATGGCTACTCAAATATAAAAGCATTTAACTTGCGCTCTCACCTGCCTCTACCAAAGGCCGGGCAATACGGGTATCTGTTTACAACTGGCAGGGGTAATGGTGCAGGCTTCGCCGGTGAACCAGGGGACATCGCAGGTGGGCCATCATCTAGGTCGTCAGACTCACTAGACAAAGCTGTTGAGAAATATTCCAGGCTGAAATCGGAGTCAATGGCCTCAATGGCGCATAACCAGTTGACACGTAACGCTTAATTGTGTTGGAGGCGTGGTCGAGTCGGCAAAAAAGCACATGGTTGATAAATTCGAACAAAGTCTCGAGTTCAAACACTGGCAGGTAAATCTCGATCCCCTTCAACACTAATAATTAAGAACGAAGAAGAAGAAAGGAATGTGGAGTGGAACTGATTACGCTATACGTTCATATACTGAAGCCAGAGACAGGACCAATACTTGGGTTGTAACTACACTTAGATGGACAGCTTGACCTAGCGGTAGAGCGCTAGACTGATAACCCAAAAGTATCAATTTTGAAACCGGCTTCAAGTCAGTAGAACGTCCCTGAGTCCACCCAGCTGTAGCTGGGCACCAAACTCAAGTTAGGGAAAGTAAAGGCAGCTTGGCATAGTGCCAACCACACTATTCCTTAATATACTAATGTCACAGAAACAGATAAACTCTACTTCACTTGCCCCAATGGACCGTCAGGTTCAAAAAAGGTAACATAACTTTCAAACTACAATTAGACAGACGGCGTAAAAGAATTGTTATAAATATCAAAATACCTGTCCTCATTCGCCCTCTACCAAGAGAAAAAAGACTGAAGTCATGGATGATACTGGCAGAATGGTTTTTCTCTGTCTCCACAAGACAGTTCAGCGTTGCTGCCATTCCTGTGGTAGCTGGTCTTCGCAGAATAGATTCTGGTTGCTGACGTCTCCTGTTGGTTTACAGAAAAGTGGGTATTATTTATTCACACTGTAATAATATATACAAATACAACACATGGTGCAGTGTGGTCAGACGGTAGTGTACAACTGCTAACTCCAACATCTCAAGTTTGAACCCAGGCTCGAGTCCACCAAGTTCTGGTGGGTACCTGAGTCACGTTAGAGAAATGAAAGCCGACTGGGCATAGAACTGACCACACCATCGCTTCATACGTCGTGGTTACACCATCAGGTGAATTCTGTCTTTCATGTTGACCGCCATGCCAGAAAGGTTTGGTTAACTTACTTACATGTATATATATATATATATATATAAATATATATAAATATATATATATATATATATATACATATATATACATACATATACATACATATACATATATATATATATATATAAAAGATCAACTTACGTTCTGACTTGATGGAGGGAAACTGTTGAAAATGTAAGATCACTCCTTTCTAAAGTAAAAAAAGAAATAGAAATAAAAACGTAAAATAGGGAAATTATTTCTAATCTACATGAATTAAAAGGTTTTAAAATTCTTATTTTAAAATATATGTATTCTATAAAGGCCTCTTTTTTTATTGTGGTAAATTATTTTAAAAAAAAGTAGAATTTTAAATCTAAAAACATTAATATGTCAAGATAGAAATTAGACATTTGTTTAGTATTTCATAGTTTAAAATCTCTATGACACTTTTGTAATGTTAAAGATCTTAGACACTTTTGTGATGTTAAAGATCTTCGTAAAATAGATACCTGCATCCCAATCTTCATCAGAATCATTGCCAGTGTTGTGGGTTGGGTTATTGTACGTAGGCAAATCTGTGCATCCTTTGTGTATTCTAAACTCTGAGTTGACCAGAGCCTTTTTAATTGCATCTAAAAAAAAATTCTTTGGTTTTTTATATAATTATTTCACTACCTTAAAAATTAGAAATGTAATTAAAAAGTTTTCTAATGCTGTAAAATATCTTAGAATTAACAATACATAAAATGAATGATTCGAGTAATGCAAGTATTTAAAAATAAAGAACAACTTACCAAACGTAATTTCTCTCTCAATCAAAACTTTGTCAGGGCAGTTGCTCATGTGATATTTAAGTTCTGCCTTGTTGACCTCATGACAGGCATTGAATGGACAAACAACAAAGTCTGTGAACGGATGATTCTGTTGCAAAAAAACAATAAGATTTGCAGTAGTTAAAAAAATTTTTTTTTTTCTTTAGATTTTCATTCTTTTAAGATAATTATTCTGAAAATGTGTAATTTTTGAAATTCATTAAAGAAAAATTACATAATTGGATAAAAACAAACAAAGACTATTTGTCAGACATACACACCTTTCTGCATTTTAACAGATGATATGGCATTCTGAGTGGTGTTATCATATGAGATGGATCATAAGGACATTCTACCAATGCTTCACTATTGCCCATTCTGGTAGTCATGGCTGACCCTTGAAGAGTTGCTTCCTCTTTAGATGAAAAACAATTAACATACTAATTAAAGTATTAGTATAAATTATGTACATTATTAATGGATCTATACAAAAATTAAAATTAAATATAATTTAAATTTAACATAGGGGCCTACCTGGTATTATAGTATGTTTCTTGACAAACTCAACTGTATTGGTCTTGGGTTATTGGTACTAGCCCGAAGGTCTCTACTAGTATGGACTTGTATTTGTAGCACGTCCCAGAATCCACCCAGCTTTGATGGGGACCTGACTTACATATATTGGGAAAAATATAGGAGGCTGCCGAGGTCAAGAAACATATGAACTCTATGAACTTTATCTGACCAATGGATTTTAAGAATTTTAGACTTAAGAACTTTACCTACACAATAATTATTTAATTAGGTAGTGGTATAACAGTAACACACATCACATGTTAGTTCACTTATTAACAGAACTTTAATAAAAGATCCAGAATCTAGACCTAAAAATAAATCATAGGCCTAATTATTACTAATAAATACTAAAGATCTAGATTCTAGATCTAAGTCCTAAATAATATTATTAATACAAAATAGAAAAATTAGCATATAGGCTAGCCTATTTATTTATTTAGTAGGTCTAAATTACTTGACATTTAAATTGATTTGTTATGATATAGTCTATATCATAACAAATCAATTTAAATTTATATTATAGACTGTAGAATTTAGACTAGAGTTTAGAACTTTAGAGAGAAATTTAAATTAGAGTCTAGACTCTACTTTTCATAGTCTTGGAGTTTCTCTCTTACTCTAGTCTTCTAGCATTAGCCTTAGCCATCTTGTCTAGCCTACTGTAGCTGGTTAACTGACCTGAACTCATAACTAGATCTACTTCACGAGTCTGATACTGATATAAATAAAAAATAACTAGACCTAGGCCTATACTATTATTAAGTTATTAACTTAATTATTAATTAAATTAACTGTGAACTAGAACTAGATCTAGGTAGGTAGATCTAGATCAGGGTAAGCCTCCATTTTAGCGTATTTTATTCCCCGCTTCACGTTCACCTCCAGTTGAGCGTATTTTATTATAAACACAACCGAAACACACAAAAACGTTAGGAAAACACTAGATCTGCTTTTTTTTAATGAATGTGATTTTTAATCAGAAAAGGTAAAAACAAAACATAAAAAAGCACTAGAACTGTTCCAATTAAATATATCGTGAGATCGTCAGCGGGATAAAAATCCCTACACGATCGCGGGTTCACAGTGAGTTCACACTGACTTTAATTATCAGCATACGTCATAGCTCGGGCAATAGCTGTTTGAAATTGTGTATCTTGCCTGGGAAATACTTGTAACAATACAAACTTAACCGCCTTGCAATTGTGAGTTTACGTACTTCACCCATTGCCATGAAAATTCTAACTGACACACGAACATAGCACATTCAATATTCTAAATTTGGATTTTTCTCAAGTTTTAACAAAAGCAAATTATCAAAATCTAAAACAAAGTCAGTCTCTTTGTTGTTTTTTTATTCATTTGTTAAAACAAAAATAATACAATGCAATACAAATCGTCACAAATAAATAAATCGTGTTTTCCTAATTTTTTGGTGTTTTTCGGTTAATAAAATACGCTCAACTGGAGGTAAACAAGAAGGGGAGAATAAAATACGCTAAAATGGAGTTTTACCCTAGACACTAACGAGTCTAACGCTAGAGTAGAGTACTCTAGACTAGATCTAGAGATTCTAGATTCTAGGACCTGACCTAGAATAATCTAGATTCTAGATCTAGTAGGCCTATAGTAGGGGCCTAAATAAAAAGAAAAATCGGTAATCTATCGTTTTGGGTACGTAAAATCGCCCGCGGCTATTAATGTACGAAAACGTTACCTCGTTGTCAAGGCTATAATAGAAGTATATTGTGATATGTTTGTGTCAAATATTATAGATAAATGAATAATAAATCCAAATCAATGGCTAAATATATCAATATAGGCCAGAAATTAACTTTAAACAGCAGTGTCTGCAAGCAAGATTTGCTATATAAACAGCAGCCATTTGTAAAATAGAGTGACTTCCGCCTGAATCTCGCGCTATAAGTCTATAAAAATAAAACTTTAACAAGATGGCTGCTATAGTAAATGAGCATGGTTGCCTCAGTTGGAAACATCGCTAGTATTCATTTATTACTGAAAAGTTTTAATTCAAATGTTTAAAAACAGGTACATAAATGAAACAAGGAAACATTTTCGTATTTTTAAAACATTAAATCCTCCTCAAAATGTGAAATAATTATTAAAATGTAAGGAGTCACCTGTTTTTCACATTACTAGTCGCGGGCGATTTTACGTACCTAAAACGATAGATTACCGAAAAATCTAAATTTTTTGTTGATCCAAAAAATACCCACAAACGCACTTACACTTAATTAATAATTATAAACTAAAATCTAGATCTAGAGAAACTTGATAAATTCAGAAACGATGATTAGGCCTAATTAAAATTACAATAATAGTAGATTTAGGCCTACTCCATTTCCATAAATTTTTTTTACTTGGCCCCTTGGCCTAATGCTGTTTAGACCAGGCCTAAATTATTCAGAGTGGATTCCCTTGATGCCTAAAAGACTAACTCTAAACAACGAAAATTTACAAGAAAATAAAAAACTCCGAGATTAACAAAATCACAACAGCGTAAAGAAATGCATTAAACAAATTAGAAGCAAAGATAAAAAAAAATAATAAGACAAAACAACAGTTTATTGTACGTATAGTAGGAATATTCTATTAAAACCTTATATAAATAAAAACAAGTTAATAAAAAGTCTAGTGACAATTTAAGCGCAATTTCCTTATGTTATCCATAACAATTTTTATTTTTTGTGACCGAACGAAAGGATATTTTTTTGCGCTAAAAAAAAAGACAACTATATTAACCTATATCAACGGAAATAGTTTTATTTTAACGAGTAGGCCTACACGATGCTCAGTTTAAATGTTCTTCCTAGGCCTACAAGATGCTCAGTTTAAAAAAGTAGTAAATATTTTTTTGTGACCGAACGAAAGGATATTTTTGAAAACTTTCTTCTGCAATATTGTTCTAAATTATGACAGGAATCGATTGGTAAATGTTTCAAGTCGCTAAGTGGTCTGGTTGCCGAGATATGGACCAAAAAGTGCATTTGTTTGAGGTTTTTTGGCTTTTCCGGGAAATCCAGGAAGGAATTCCGGGATTTTTTTGGCCCACAATCATCCTTGGAACTTGCTTAACATATTTGCTTTGGAACTAGTCCTCGATATTGCTTCGTTGAGGAGGAGATACCACTTAAAGCTGCGGACACACATCCATCCATTCATACATCCAGAAATGACGAGTTAATAATCGCAATTGTCCGTATGGACAAAAAATAACAATCCCAAATACAATTGACTGAGTGGACAGATCCAGTGTTTCTTCCATGCATATCTTTTTTTTTGGGGGGGGGGGGGGGGGGGGCTCCGAAAGGGCGGAGAAAGTCTACCCCCCGAACGAGATGGACATATATACTTTTAACAGTGTCCGCCCCCCCCCCCCCCCCTGAAATTTTGAAACAATGGACGGATGGGTAAGGGGGAGGAAGACGATTCTCTCTTTACATACATTTACATATATTATATACATGGGCACGTTTCTAGATGTGTGGTAAATCAATCCATATGATACAAAGATCTATGTGATACACAGACCAATGGTATACAAATACCCATATGATAAAAAGACCCATATGATACAAAGAACAAGAAACATGTAATATAAAGACCAATAAATTATACCCATATGATAAAAAGACCCTCATGATACAAAGAACAATAATCATGTAATATAAAGACCAATTATATGATACAAAGACCGCATTCCGTATAACGGAAAAGCCTACATGACAGGATCCACAAGTGCGATTGTAAGATCTTGATGGTAAGTTCCTTATTCGAATCTGACCTGTCAATAGGGCAGGTGATGTAGAGTTCACCTGTTCCCGTGACCTCGGCATATGACGGGATAGAGGGGTCAGCATTATGCCCAGCTGTCTTTACTTTTCCTAACGTGAGTTAGGTACAGATCAGAGTTGGGTGGACTCAGGGAAGGTCTACTGACTTGAACCCACATTTGAACTCGAGACTTTCGGGTTAGCAGTCTAGCGCTGCCGCTAGGCCACGCCATCCAGGTAATTTCGGCTGACAATCTTTAGAAACGGAAGTAGGAATAGTGCAGAAAAATCACAAGGTCGTTAGTTCTAGCGAAAACTTTCTTACAAATACTTCTCAAGGCAAACGAAAACGAGGCAAGCTCAAGAAAAATGGAAAGACATCAGTTAACGGATGAGTTTGATAATGATAGAGAGAGAGAGAGGAATGGGGGAATACAATTAAAAGAACACTAGTGGCTCCTCACCGCAAATTATGATTGCAACCTTTCAACTGCGACCCTCAATACACCGATCCTGTTAATTTTTCTGTATCAGAATAGAAACAACGACAAAACTTGAATTAAAGAAGACGTTTATGATACACCTTGGCCTTTCAACTTCAATACAGAGTTTTTTAAAAAGTTTAACAACGAATAAAGACAATCTAGGCGCTGAAGTGCGGGGCCCCTTTAAGTGCGAGAAGTTATACTAAAAAGTTCGAACCCTCAGGCAGATGAGGCTCGATAGCTGGGGACAGTTAGGGGAGACTCTTCAAGGAGAGACAACTCCAAAATCAAACAACAGGTAGGACAAAAGCTATGGAAGCAACGCCCCCCCCCCCCCCAAAAAAAAGCAAGCTGAAATCGGGCATATAACAAGTTTAATTATGTTAGAGGGAATCCCTTCCAACGCCAAAATTAGGAGCGTTAAAGAAGAAAGAAGAAGAATATAATATTCAGGAAAAAGTATCTAAAATACTCACATGTAGATCAATAATTTGCTTAGTAACACGGTAACAGCTGAAATATAGTTAGCTTGACATTGTATCGACAGTTAGCAGGCAATTATGTATTCGATCTTCTTTTTTCGCTCAACGCAATTTTGTTATGACAATCCGTCGATTACGCATTTATAACATATTAATATGAGCATCTGTTGTAATCAATCAGGGTTTTAAATACTTCAAAGAAATACTGTAGTTTTAACACAAGCTATCGAGATCTCTTGGGCTTACACCCTCACGTTTTCTTTATCCCCAGTCCCACGAGGTTTCTATCGTCTCCACGGCCATCTCACTGCGTCCCCCCACCCCTCTCCTCTCTCACATGCGACACTTTCCGGTACCCTGGGCAAACTATCAATTTTGCCCCCCCCCCCCCAAATTTTTTCCAGGTTTATAAAAAAACAATTAATTACGTAAATAAGTGCGTAACATCAAGTTGCGGTATATTTTCTTCACGTGTATAGTTCAGAAATACAGCTCTAAATGGGCCCTTTAACAGAGACGTGGCGACCCTTCCCGGGGCCCGGGGACAAACTTTCAATTTGGCGCCCCCCTCGGGAGAAAATTCGATTTGCACCTTCCTCCCCCTCAAACTTTCGATTTGCACCCACTCAAACGTTCGATTAGCACCCCTCCCTCAAACTTTCGATTTGCACCCCCTCCCCTCAAACTTTTGATTTGCACCCCACCCCCCTCAAATAGTTAATAATGCAAAAATGCAGCTAAAATGATATTTTAATTTGTTTTTACAACCCATTTTGGCGCCCCCTATGTTCAGCGCCCGGTAACATATGTACCCCCTGCCCCTCATCGCTACGCCACTGTCCTTTAAATAATTTTTTTTCTACCCCGTTTGGGGCCCTCCCCTTGTGATCGGCGCTCGGAGTAGCCGTCCCACCCGCCCTCCCCAAAATACGCCCTAGCCCACAGGTGCAATATCACCCTCATTGGAAACAACTCACTAAATGATAAGTCTACTAAATTATAATTCACATGTATTGTTAACAAAACCGTATTGGTTTTTTATTTAATCTTGAAGTATCAACTTACGTATTTAAATCTTCTGGAAAACTTGTGGTTATAGTGTAGGTCTTATGAGGATGATATTATCCTTCGAGTATCCTCATCATCTAACAGGCAGCGATTGGATACAAGCAAATAGTCTTTATTTTACAACGTTAAGAGGTAGTCAATGGAATCGCTAGAACACAAACTAATCTTCTTATCAAAAGAATTGATCGATCGTAACATTTTAGCGCCCAATGCTTTTATTAAAGGAAAGTTTTGTTTTATTTAGTTTTCAAATTTTCAGTGCATTTGATAGCTTATTGTCATAAAGGTGTATATATATATATATACATATATATATATATATATATATATATATATATATATATATATATATATATATATATATATATGTATGTATATATATATATATATATATGTATATATGTATATATATATATATATATATATATATATATATATATATATATATATATATATATATATATATATATATATATATAACTAGTGTAGTTACTAGGGACGATAAGAACGTAATACAGTCTGTCAACTAAAGACTATTGTAAGAACGCATTACAGTCTGACGCAATGGTGCAGGTGGTGGACTGATAACGAACATAAAGCCACGGCGTATCTTGGGAAGCGATACGACAAAGCCGCTGCGCAGTTCATAGTCTGATGCAACAAATGGTAATTATTACGAATACGAGGGGATATATGGGAAGGCGACAGCTAGATAGAGGGAGAACCAAGTTGGAGGCTGAACGGTGTAGACGTATTGTGTTATGTGAGAATAGGAACGATGGACACGTGCATTCTGTTATGTGAGGACTAGTGAGGACAGTGGGGGTCAGTTGGTTCATTGTATTCTTGTGGAACATTGATGCATTGTTATGTGGAGCATTTCTATTGATTCATGTAATAAAGAGATCAATGTAAACCTGCATTTCCGAGTATCTATACTGTGGTCGATGTTGTGTGCTGGTCAAAGGTAGCACGAGTAAATACACTCGGTAACATTTGGCGCTGTCAGCAGTGAAATCGGTAACATTTGGCACTACAAGCAAATAGACTCGGTAACATATATATATATATATATATATATATATATATATATATATATATATATATATATATATATATATATATATATATATATATATATATATATATATATATATATATATATACGTCGCGCTAAAGGTTAGGTTAGGTCTAGCGTTTAGGGGTCATCAATAAATGACGTCACGCTTTTTTGGACGATTTTTACCTACCCCCCTCCCCTCCGTCACACGTCGTCACAAAAAAGCCCGACCCCCCCTAAATTGACGTCACACCTCAGCCTACAACTCTACAAAATATAGTATTTTAATCAATTCCTATATTAATTTATTGAAACTGTTTTCTAAAACGCTAAATAACGTCTAAAATTAGTTTTCTAACATTTCTTATCTATAAAGCAAACGTTTGACGTCGCACCATCTGACCCCCCCCCCCCCCCCCCCCGCCTCATCACGCATCGTCACAAAATTACCGACTCCCCCCTACGAGTGTGACGTCATTTATGGACGACCCCTTATGTCGAGATAGCATTATCGATGCTAGCATAACGAATGTTCGAAACATGCGCCAA